GGGGGGCACGCGGGGCCGCGGACCCCGGCTCCCGCTGACGTGTCCTTCCCAGGAGCTGAACCGGCGTCTGACGGCCGGCGCCCCGTCCCTCCTCGCCCGCCTGCACGAGCTGCTGCACGCGCTGCTGGAGGGCCGCGCCGGCACCGGCACCGCCGTCTCCTGGCACCGGGACGCCGAGCACCTCACGCTGCGCATCAAGAGCGAGCTCTCGGGGCTGCCTTTCTACTGGGACTTCCGCTGCGCCCCGGCCCCCGTGCCTACGGTGAGCGATGCCGAGCGACCCGTTATGACCCCAGCGGCTCCGGGGTGCAGCGGCGATGGTGCCTCTGCTCCGCGCTGGCCAGGCCCGGCCACGGCACTGGGGCAGCTCCAACCCCGCGCGGTGACAAGCCGGTGGGGAAGCTGGAGGGGGCAGAGGTGGTAACAGGCGTCAAGGGCAAGTCGTGCAGGGAGAGGCCGAGGGAGCCAGGTACGTTGTGCTGGGGGGTCTGGGGGCAGGTTGAGGTTGGATCTCGGGAGCACGGCCGAGCAGGGCGGCTGCAGAAGGGTTGAGGTTGCTGGGGGTGTCCCAGGATGGGCTGTGCTGGCTGCCCCACCCCCCGAGCTCAGGGGGCTGAAGCCCCCCCAGAGGCGCTGGGTGCTGAGGCTGTGCCAGGGCTCCTGCCGGGACTCAGCCCTGCAAGGTCCTGGCTGGACCCTCTTGCACCGCTGCTCACACTGCCTTGGTGGGGGCAGGCAGGGATTTGCCTCCTGCTCAGCCTGGACCAGCCTGGGGGGTTTCCCCTCCCTCTGCAGTGGGGGCACGGCCTGGGCCTGGGCTCTTTCCAGTGCCTACCACCCCCCTGGCTGCAGCAGGACGTTGGTGGCCACAGCCCCCCTGTATCCCGGGGGCGGGGGCCATGCTCTGGGCTGTGCTGGGGCAACTGTGTTGCATGGCTCCGAGGTCACGCACGGGGTTTGCAGGGAGCTGATCCTACCTCGGGCTGGATGTGACCCTGGAGCTTCCTGCCGGCCCCGCAGCTCTGGGATTTCTGATTCAACCAGGGTGGCACATTGGGCTGCCTTGAGATCCTTCTGAGGGTGCTGCAGGGGGCCGCGCACCATTAGCACCCATAAGTGTGCCAATGTGTTCCACAATAGCAACCCTAGGTTTCAAACAGGAATCCAGAGTGTGAAATCCAGCCTTGCCCGCTGTGGCCTTTCTGGGTGGTTTGGAAAAGCAAAAACTGCTCTGTTACATTTCTGTTATCATAAAACCAGTGGCATTTAAGAACTGGCATTTTCCAAGGGGGCTTCAAGTCTAACGAGGGGTGTTACAGTCTAATGAGGATGGCTTGAGTCTAAAAAGGGTGACACCCACTGAGCTAGAGGCTTTGGAGCCCTCCTGGGGTGCACTGACCCCCCCAGCACTCTTCCTTTGCTCTCCCTGGTGTGTGTCATGCCCGGCCCCCTGAGACCTGGGTTTCTGGGGGTGCTGGTGTAGCACAGACAGCAGGGGCAGGTGCTGGGGGCAGGAGCTGGGTGGGTGTGGGGACAGGGCTCTGCCATGTACTCCCTGCATGGCTGTTACAAGGCTTGGCCCCATGCCTCAGTTTCACCACCCTGCAGGCTAGGGCTTCCTGGAGCAGCTCAGGGGGGCATCTCCTGCCCCAGGGTCACTGGGAGGTGCTGGAGGCTGCCCTGAGGGGCTGGGTGAGCTCCTGCCTGCCATGGCTCTTGGCACCTGTGCTGGTGCCCAGCGTGCAGCAGGGGGCGCTGCGCACCCAACCAAGAACCCTTTGGCCACGCTGTGGGAGACGGGGTTGCCCTAGGGTGGCAGCGTGTGTGCCCTGCCTGGATGTCCTGCCAGCCGTGTTCTCCCTGCTCCCCCCAACCCCGGCCCGGGCCATGTGGCTCTAGGAGGAGATGCCCCCGCACTCCCAGGGGGGCTTGTAGTCCCAGGCACCCGCATGCCCCGAGTGTGCGGGGAGTCCTCAGCCAGCTGGCCAGGCCCAGAGAGCTTGTTGGGGTCTCCCATGTGCAGAGAGCTCCCCAGCCACAGCATCCCGCTGCTGTGTCCCTGAGGCCGGGGCATGGCAAGGGGCTTTCCACCTGGGCAGGGCATCTGTTGTGTATCACCTGCTGGCAGGAGGTGACCTACAGAGGCTCACGGCCCCTTTCCCCGACCCCTGTGTCTCCCCCACTTCAGGTCTGCCAGCACCTGGCGCGGCCCCTGCTTCGCATGAGCCTGGCCCTGCAGTGCCAGCTGCAGCACCTGGCCTCGCTCCTGCTGCAGAAGGACGCTGAGATCGAGGACTACCGGGAGAGTGGCGCTCTGCTCAGCCGAGGTGAGCGGGGCCGGGAGCAGGGACTGCGTTTCCTTCCCCGCCGCCCTAGGCTGGCCTGTGACGGCCACCTGGCCAGTGCCCAGCCGGCCTTGCTCCATGCTTGATGGCAGCCAAGAGCCCGGGGTGTGGCCCCCCCAGGGAGACCCGGCCCTCGCCCGGTAGCCAGAAGACTTGGGGGGCCGCCAAGGGGCTTGGTGCTGCCTGCCACGGGGCTGGGAGGGGCCTGGCAGCCTGGGACAGGTGCCAGCTCCCGTGCACATGGGCTTGGAGCACAACCAGGGGCTCCTTCTGAGACATCACGGTGTTCACAGCTGGGCTGTGGGCGTTTGGCCAGCACTGGGACAGTCCCCAGGGCCTGGCCCCCTCCCTGGATGGGGAAGGGGACCCTGAGTCCCATTTGCAGTGCTGAGGCTGCCTGGACCTGGCGCTGGGTCTCATGGGGCAGCAGCACTTGGGGGTCATTGTCCTTGCCTGTCAGTGCCCCTCTCCCTCTGGGGACCCCTCGGGAGCTGGGCCTAGCCGGGGCTACACCTCTGCTAGTCTCTTCACCTGCGTTGTGCAGCATGGGGCACCAGGGAGTCCAGCTCTGCCAGCATGTACCTGTCCTCTGGGATGCCTAGGGCCGGGCTGGCACATGTGGCCCCTACTCCGGGGTCAAAGGCAGTGCTGAGCTGCCTGAGCCAAGCCTGCTGCCAGCTCCCATTTGCTGGCTTGGCAGGGCTCCCTGGAGCTTGGGATGGTGTGGGGAGGTCTGTCCCATCACCATCACGTCCTGCCTCCTCACTGCTAGCGGAGAAGCTGCGGCTGGCCCTTCTCCAAGGGACAGGGGAAGGAGAGGCTGTCTGGGGTCAGCCAGAAGGCACGGGGCAAGGCCTAGTGGTGGGGACATGCCTGGGGGGAGGCTGCATGCCCCCCAGAGCATAAAGGAGCCCCTCAGGAGGCTTCTCCCGTCCCCCAGACCCATGGACAAGCTGAGCCAGGCAGCACCTGCTCTGTGCTCCAGCCCTGTCTGTGCGCTGTGGGTCCTGGCTAGAGCCGAAGCAGAGTTGGATGCCTGGAGCTGGTGGTCAGAGCCCTGTGGGGATAAGTCCTCGGCCTCCTGCCTGGAAGAGCTGGAGGCAGCCCCTTTAGCGGTGTTTGCATTCACCCCCTGGTAGACCAGCCTGTGCCACCCATGCCCTAGGCTCCTGCAGCTGCTGGGCCATGGCCAGGTGGGCAGAGGCTCTCCTGATGCCAAGGCC